TGTTTCAGCCATTCTAATTCTTTTACATATTGTTCATTCAAGGTTCCCATCATTTTCTATGCTTCTCTATTTAAAAAAAAATCTATGTCTTCTTTAGATATGCTCAGCAATTCTTTCATTATGTTATCATTTCTTTTATTATCTGAAAGATTATTTTTTATTTGATTTTCTATACACCTGAATTGTGTTGTCTTTCTTTCTTTCTTTCTTTCTTTCTTTCTTTCTTTCTTTCTTTCTTTCTTTCTTTCTTTCTTTCTCTTTCTTTGTATTTAGAACAAGGTCTTCACGGTTTCACTGTGTGGATTGGACATGTAGTGATCCTCCTGTTTACAGCCTCCCAATTGCTGGGATTACAGGCATGTGCGACTATGCCCATTCTCAATCACTGTCTCAGCACTCTTCAGGGGCAGAGCTGGGATGGCATGCGGTGATGGGGAGTGAACCCCTGTCCCTGCATTCTGCCTAAGCAGGTGTTTTAGTCCACTGAGCTATCTGGCCAGGCCTATGCATTCTTATTTCATTTGTGCCTGGAAACTTTCAGGAGGGTCTGCTTAAGATGCATTTGAAAACATTAATTGCCCATTAATGTTACTTTTTTAAATTGAAAAGCAATTTTGAAGGGCCTGCTAGTGTTACCTAATAAGTTCAGCAGTATAAATATCACAATGGTCATACAGTTGAATACATTCTACTGTTCCTGTGTTTACAAGGTAAAAAATAAATTATTTACAGAACTATGTAAAAACAATTCACAATTGTAAAAAGCTATTCAAAAGTGCCACTCGTAAAATATTTAAATTCATGAACTATCTAGGAAAATATAATAAAATAAAAAAATTATATACTGAAAAACATAAAACTCTGAAGAGTAAAGATTAAATAACAGCATTATATTTCCAATGTGAAATTAATAAATGTTTGAGAACAAAGAATTTCAATATAAGATACAGGATGCTGGAAGATGAAATGTTGATTTTTAGTTTCTGCAGTTCAATTACTCAATACTTTTAAGTTTTTCTTTTTATGTATTTGGTACAGGGTCTCACTATCATCTTGGACTTGTAGCGATCTTCCTGGTTTCATCCTCCCCAGCACTGGGATTACAGGTGTGTGCCACCACACCAGGACTTGGTGACCAGCTCAGGGTGCATGGGGGTGGACCCCACACAGTATGTGGAATATCTTTAATTTTAAAATCAATATTCCACATTGAAAGTCATATTATCTATGGCTTCATGACTTTTGAGGTGTTTTACACTTTTTGCTTTTTTAAGAGAACAAAAATAAAGTAAAAAACAAAACCTTAGAAATGATACAGAATTTCCCTGAACAAAATGTTAGGAATTCAGTAATGACTGTTGCATTATATCTGTGATCTTCAAATTAATTGCTCAGGAGTACCAGAAATAAGCATGCAAAATTGGTTAAAAAAACAAGAGGAAAGATATAAAGAATTAACTGTTCCTTTCCAATAGATCAGGAGAAATCAGCAGTACAATTATCCAAGCTATCCTGTGTCTGATTGTGTGCGTGCGCGCATGTGCACACATGCACACACACACACACACACACACACACACAAACACACACTTATGTACGTGTTTCCCTCGCTTTTCTCTTTCTTTCCTCCTTCCTCTCACCCTAATCGTTCCTTCCCTGTGAAAGGTTAGTTTCCTTTTCCCGGTGTCTATTGTGCCTTTCAAATCTCATTCACTCCTTTCGGGGCTGTTTTATGTGACTCTAAACACTTCAAAATGCAGATCACCTTTGCTGCTCTACTTGTTTTATTCTTCATAAATTGAATGTGATTTTTAATTCACAATACTTGTGCTGTAATTTTTCTATCAAGGATCAGAAAGGTAATTCTGTCTAACAAAAGCCTGGATCTAAGACATTGGCTCAGTGCCAGCTGGTACAACTTCCTGTCACTCTATGGGACAATTTATTTTCTTCCAAAGCTTTTTTTCGCAAAATGCCTTCAATTTTATACACTTTCAGGAGAAATGTACTGTAGACAAAGTTGTCTCCTTTTAGGAAAACTATGTCTTTTATTTTTTAAAAGACAGTACAAATTTTTTTAAAACAAAAAGTTACAAGCAGTATGGAATTTCACTTGACAGAGTAATATGAATTTCACGGTGTTTGTGGTAGTGCATAGTGTTGTCTTACAGCCAGATATTCATATTACCAGATATGTGCATATAAAATTGGAAGAAAAAAGCAAAAAAGAAAGCCCCCCAAAAACCCAAAGATGTGTGGAAGAAATTAAGGAGAAGAAGTAAAACACTGAAAAAAGGAGATAAAACAAGTTAAAGCATTCAGTGCTCCTTTCACAGAGCAGCAGAGACGCACAGTACAGTTGTCCAAGCCACCCTGCCTAAATACACAGATAAACTACTAAAGAATGAAATACTGAAATGTCCATCGTGCGTTTGACACGTGATGCGGAACCGCAGCGAATGCTTGTTTGCAAGGCACATTGCGTTGATCCTCCTGAAAAGTGCCCCTTGCCTGCAAAGGTCCTCATCCCGTTGGTTTTATCATCTTTTGGAAGAAGCCCTGGCAGTCTTTCCTTGGTGCCTGTTCATGGTGGCTTTGAGGTTCAGAGTTGATTCCGAATGTCGCTGGCAATTTCCGCCCAGTTCAAGCACTGCGGTGCGTCTTCACTCGTCCCCGGAATCTGGCTCTGTGCTCAGGCTGCCTCTGCAATAGGTCAGACGACTGGCAGCGGCAGCTGGACGTGTCCAACCCACGGCACGGAGTCAGTTCAGACAGCGCAGCTGCGGCGCTCTCAGGAGAGGACTTCCAGGAGCGCTTCCAAAAGTGGCAAGAAGAAGGGATCTGTGAGGGGGGTTAATGGCAGGGCCCCTTTTTCTGGAATCATTTTTAAAAATTTAATTATTCACTATGGCTTGTATATATGTATGATTAGCATTCGGCATGCACACATGTAGGTGCGTGCGTGCGTGTGTGTGTGTGTGCGCGTGTGTGTGTGTGCGCGCCTTGGTGCCAGGAATGAGGTTGCAAATTAGCAGCAAATCTTTCTGTACTACTTCAGTTTCTAGTTGAGGAGAAAAATACTTAAAATATACAGTGAAAAGGAGAAAAAGTTTAAAGTGGTTTCAGAATTTTCATTCCACAGTCAATAGGCTCTAAGCCAAGAGCATCATGGTGAGGTTGTGGTGGAGGAAACACGGCGGGGGATGCGGTGCAGAGAACACCGCGGTGGGCGTGCAGTGGAGGAGACGGCGCCGTGGAAGCTGTTCACATGAACGTTAGCTGGAGAGAGTGGGCTCAAAGGAGAAGCCAGCCTCGCAAAGCATCGAATTAAGGCTATGCTCTTGGGGAGCAAAGAATATTGCAATTATTTAGAATAATTTTAAAATTCTCAAGGGACTATGTCGAAAATATATTATGGGTATCCTCTCTTCCTTTGTATGAAATCACGGGAGACAGTATTTAGAGGTAGGTTATCTGTACTTCTTAAATAAAAAAATTAATCTTGGTTATATGTAGATTGGCATCGTAATGTGGGGAAAATTTTCCTTTATTGCTTTCCAAAATTTTGTGAAAATTATTTATTTATTTGTTACAGGGTCCCACTATGCAGCTCAGACTCATAGTTGGTCCTTTTTGTCTCGGACTCTCCAGTGCTGGAACTACAGGAGTGCACCATCACGCCTGGATTTGGTGGCTAGCATGGCGCACCTCGGGTTCCCAGGCTGCCTGGGCATGCAATACCGGGTAGGGAACCGGGGTCCTTGTGCTTACCAGGCAGGCTCTTAGATTGCTGAGTCATCTCCCCAACCCAATTTGTTGCTTTTTTATTCAAGCAATGTTATTTTTTTATTCTTCATAAACCTAGTATTAAATGAAATCTTGTGATAAATACATGAGAATGAAATAACGAAGGTCTATTACTTTAGAAATTTGAAATTCATATGAAAAATCCTTTAAATTTCTGGGAGTGTGGATCGGGTTAGTGAAGAGGCCACGCTTCTGAGCTTTTCTACACAAATATTCCTCGAGTGAGTTAGTGATGCAAAATACGGGGAACTAAAGCATGACAGACATACATGTCTTGCTTACAAACTGTTGAAATGCCATCTAAGACATTCCTACCTTCATTTACATCATAGTGCTTGCTTTTGTCTAAAAGTGCATTTATAACTTTGCCTGTGGATTTCATAACTAGTCCCTCTATATTGTAAACTCAGCTCAGAGAGTGCAGAACTTATTGTGGCATCTTGATGTCCTACAGTAGAACAATTTCAGCTTTGGTGAAGAACAAGAATAAATATTGTATGTGGATGTATAGCTCCAAAGCAGAGAGAACAACTCTCGATTTGCTATATTTTAAGTTATGTATTTGATGTATTAGTTGTTTATTTGATGTAGCCTTATTTGAGAGGTATATTCCCGAACAGTGCTTTGCTGCAAAAGCAGTTAAGAGATATAACTTTTGACCTTCACTGGAATTTGCCTTTGAATGTTCTTTTTTCATTCTGCACCTAGGATAGTAGGCTATCAAGGCTGAAGGAACCAGGAAGAGGAAAACCACCTGAATTATCTATATAAATGACTTATTCATGTGTATGGCTTATTTTTCTAACTTTTACATTTCCTCCACAGATTTGGGAAAAATTAGCAAATATATGGAATGCTTAAAAAAACAGATGCAAATAGGAGAATTTGTAAGAATATTAATATATATTTATATTATATGTAATTATGCAAATATTTGGGATAAAGAGTCCATGTGTGCTTATATTTGAGATATAGACAAGACTGATGAGAGTGCACATGCAGGAACTAATTCCCGATGGTGAATGTGATTATTATATCTAAAATGTACTAATAAGATTAATTAAATAATTGGGAAATTTATTTTGCATGATAAACAAAATAAGAATGAGAGATCGAGTGCAATAAATATTGAATCTATTAAAAAATGGATTTTTCATATGCTCTGTCACCCTCAGATTTCAGGGGAGAAGAAAATGTCCTTCCCTAACGACACCCTAGTGGTGGATTTCATTCTCCTGGGACTCACAGATGACCCTGCGCTGGAGAAGGCACTCTTTGGGCTGTTCCTGCTGGTCTACCTGATCACGCTGGCAGGAAATCTGTGCATGATCCTGCTCATCAGAGCCACGCCGCACCTGCAGACCCCCATGTACTTCTTCCTGGGCCACCTCTCCTTCGTGGACATCTGCTACTCCTCCAACGTCACTCCGAACATGCTGCACAGCCTCCTTTCCGGGTGGAAGGCCATTTCCCGGGCAGGCTGCTTCACTCAGTGCCTCCTCTTCATCGCGCTGGTCATCACCGAGTTCTACATGCTGGCGTGCATGGCCCTGGACCGCTACGTGGCCATCTGCAGCCCTCTGCACTACAGCAGCAGGATGAACAGGCGCGTCTGCGTCTCTCTCGTCGCCTTCCCCTATCTGTTCGGCTTCCTCAACGGCCTCTCTCAGGCCCTGCTGACTTTCCACCTGTCCTTCTGTGGCTCCCTCGAAATCAAGCACTTCTACTGTGCGGACCCTCCGCTCATAGTGCTGGCCTGCTCGGACACACGAGTCAAAGAGATGGCGATGTTCGTCGTGGCTGGTTTTACCTTGTCAAGCTCTCTCTTCATCGTTCTCCTGTCCTACGTGTTCATTTTCGTAGCCATCCTGAAGATTCGATCTGCAGAAGGCAGGCGCAAGGCCTTTTCTACCTGTGGCTCCCACCTGACCACGGTCACCATATTTTATGGAACCCTGATCTGCATGTACCTGCGACCTCCGTCAGAGAAGTCTGTGGAAGAGTCCAAAGTGATCTCCGTGTTTTACACTTTTCTGAGCCCAATGCTGAACCCGTTGATCTATAGCTTAAGGAACAAGGATGTGATCCGGGCCATGAAGGTCTTGTCCAAAGGAAACTTGTTTCAGAAAATTACAGTTTAGTATGCGTTCATTCATAACCAGTAAGTGTCCTGGTGCTGAAGTGAATTCCTAAGCTGTTAATACTAGTGTTCTGGGGTCTGGACCATTATTGGAAGTTTTCTTCATTGGCTTTTGAAAATAGAATGTTCAAGGTAAATTATTTTAATAAAAGCTCTCGCATTGAATTTGGAAAGCTTATTTTTGTAAAGAAATCCCAAATGTTCCCATATTAGCGTGCTATAATTTCATTTAATAACTTCGTTCAACATTTTGTTAGAAATGGATCATGAACGTTTACATTTTGAAAATTTATTTCAATAAAAGAAACATTACCAGTAACCCTCAATACTGCCTTCTTTCTCCCTGCCTGATTTCCTGTCCATCTTGCCACTTTGTGAAACTGCTCTGTAAGTCTTCGAGAGGCACTTATCACAAAACTGAAGAAAAAGCTACTATATTCTGTTGTGAAGAGTTTTGCAATGAAAGCACAGGCTTCTAAAAACCTTAACAATGGTATTTACGTTTTGTTATACTTGTGTTTTTATAGCTAGAAAACGTCCAATGTCTGATACTTTCTTTCATTTATTAGTTTTGCAAGGAAAATATTAGAATTTTTTGATATTAATGTAACTCAATCCTCTTTTATATATAGTCATTTCTATGTAGTCATTGAGCACATGCTGACATGAGAAGAGATTTGCTAGTGTATTTTCATAAAAGTATCTGTTCATTGACCGAAGCAACACATGCTGTACAGTACAGCTGCCATCGCTTTGCATTCTGCTGTGGTCTGTGTGGTCGGTCTCTGCTGGACACACAGCCTTCCTTTGCGTGGCGGTCAGGCACCAGACAACCGCGCTGAGACCTGCCTGCGTGCATCAGCTGGTGAAGCATGTAAATCTCTTGGACAGAGCAGCATCGGGCCATAAATTCTGAGAACGCCTGTTAGGGTGTGACGCTGCGAGCGGGAAGAGGAGCATCATTGCTCAGTGGCGTGCTCCGCGTTAGCTGCCTCGAAGCCAGTAAATGGCGATATTGCCATTAAGGAAGGACACATCATGACAAAAGACAGGAAGAGCGGAATACATACTGTGAAACCCCGTGGAGCATGAGGACCAAGGAGATGTAAATGTGTTTTCTTTAGCTGTAGGCCCACATTTTGCACAAGGAATGATTATTATTGTTATTATAACTAAGAAAAGAAATAGTCACACATTCCATATTTCTAATTCACAAATCATAAAGCAAATATTCTCTGTTTGTTAATATTGGAATTTAAGCCGTAAGTAGGAGAGAACAAATCCAAACTTGCTCTGTATTTTTTACCTAGCTTGTCTCCCAGATATCTTCCAACTCAAGCTCCTGTTATTTTTTCTTTCTAAGAATATTGTGGTGCTGAATAAGTTTCCAAGGGTTCGAAGGCTGTGTTTTATGGAGGTGTTCATTTTATGGTTTCTTTCAGGGAATTTGCAGGGTTGGAAGCAGCAATGTCAATACCCCCATCTACCATCTTTAAAAAGGGAGAAGAAAATCTTGTATTTATGAGGTAGAATATTTTTCTAGAGAAATGTCCTACAAATAAAGGATTTAAAAATATTTTTGCTTGAGAGAAAATTATCAACATCACCTTTGCCTTCACTTTTGACATGAGAATGAAGTGAAAAGGAGGGAAGCTGAGTTCTGGTAAAGGGTATCTGGTGTACAAATCTTGTCTAGGTGTGCTCTGTGCACCACACACAACACACACAGAATGAGTGAAAGTAGCCCTTGTACAACAGAGGGTGCAGGAAACAGGGATATCCATTTGCTGGCAGAGATTTTGTACTTCACAATACGCAAACATAAACTAAGTAAAACAATTATGGAAATCTATCTGAAGCCATAACTTATACAATAAATATCTTGTTGAAATGGGGGAAATTGACTTCAAATAGATTTAGGTATTTGTCATAACCATGCTATTATATGGGATGTAAAATCATCTTGCCCAGTGCTACAAGGGTAAAATGGAATTTTTGACATCCCTTAAGATCCCAGACAAGTGTTTGTATAGAACAGTTGATGCAAGATTTAACCAATGTCATTATACTCTGAATGTAGGCCCTCATGAATATGGCTAGTAACAACTTAAGTTTGCCTCCTGCTGTTTACCAACTCAAGAAGTGTTAATACTGACCACAAATCAAAAGTCTATTAAGAAACTTTTTATTTAAATGTGCAAAATAAAACCCCATACTTTTTAAAAGTAATTTTACTGAGAAACAAATAGCAGTGAGTCGGTTTCAAAATCGATTAGTAAGACAGTTTCAATAAATAATATATTGCATACTGTTGTCTTTTTAGTGGCTATTCATAGTACAAGATGCAATACAGTCCAGTAGTCCGTAAGAGTAGTGGGTTATCCGCAGGCCTGGCAATGTCAGAAGTTGTTCACTTGAGCCTTTTACAGCTCAGCATATTAATATGGCTTTACTTTTTATACCTCATGTTTATATTTTTCTGCTGGATGGTTAAGACCAAGATAAAGTAAGTCCTATATAACAAGAAATGCAACTTTTGTATCTGTCAAGGTCAGTTAAATCCCCTCAGGATGTACCCTAAAACCCTGTACTGCAGTGTGCAGATCCTTTGTCAGGAAACCCCACATTTTTAGACCATAAGATGTTAATACATTGAACAAAAATTTATAATATTTTACTGCCATCAACTTACAGAGTAATAATCCAGGTCCGTTTTTATTAGATGGCTCAAATATCCTCTCTAAATTACACTTTACAGACATTGCAAATGCCTTATAATAATGTAAACAAAATAACTTTTCCCTAAAGGAGGAACTTGAGAACTTCAGTCCATTCTTTCAGGACTTGTACTTCTCTTAGATCTTAGAATGTTATAGCCAGCAGGTTCTTGGCCAATTGAGATATGAAGGATAATAGGGCAGGAAAACAGTTGGGGGGGGGCTTCTGAAACGCTTGCGTCAGTGTCTCTGGGCTCAGAATGCTGGTGGCACAAGAATCTGCCCTTGTCTACTTTGTAGGCTTTTCAACAGTGATTAGACAGGCCTGGAATTTGGGAATATGGGTCAGCCTCATTTATTTGATGGTCTGGGTGACTACTAGTATGTTGCGAATTATTTGGATTCTTTAACTTTGGAATTTTGACAACTGGTTAAATCAGCAAGGTTGGTATAAAGCTATGTGTGATTGGCAGGCTTATCTGTTGCGTTTGGTTAGCTTGGTTATATATTCCATAAAGTTAAATCTACTCAACAGTAAATCTGCAGAGATTTAAAATTGGGGAAGATTGTCTAAAGATTAAAAATAGTGATATACTAAAAGGTTTTATATAAGCATTAAGTTACACTATGTACTTATGTAGGTAAATGGATACAACTAGAGACCTGAACTCATAAGGGAAATAAATCAGGCCCACATGTGTAAACATTGTTTTGTATCGCTAGTGTAGGAAGCTGAAAGAATAAAATCTGAAGGACTCCATGGATACTGTGAAAGGGAAGAAAACTGTTCAAAAGGAAGGACCAACTGGGATGAGGGAAAGGAGAAAAGAAAGAAAAAGGGAAGGGAAAAATATATTTATGTATATACGCCAGATAGCTTGAAGAGTTGCCCTGCTAATTTCTTTCTTTTTTCTTTTTTCATTTCATTTATGTATTTGGTACAAGGTCTCACTACGCGGCTTGGACTTGTAGTGATCCTCCTGTTTTCAGACTCCCCAGCGCTGGGATTATAGGCGTGCACCATGACACCCAGACTTGATCGCCAGTTCAGCATGCCCCAGGGGCTTGGCTGGCATGGCCTGTGGGACTGAGGATTGAACCCTGGTCCTTGTGCTTGCCAAAGCAGGCGCTTAGTCTGCTGAGCTATCTCGCCAGCTGCATTGCTGATTTCTGCCAGTCCACTGAAAGGAGCAGTTAATGCTTGAATATTTTTCTCACTCCTTAATCTGATAACTTTTTGACCAGTTTTGCATGCTTATATCTGGTAATCTGAACAACTAATTTGAAGACAACAATATGCTACATAATAATGATTGTTGAATTCTTACTAGTTTGCTTAGTGAAATCCTGCATTGTTTCTAATTTTTTAAAATATTTTTCTTCCCTTCTAAAAAGTAACAAATTTCAAGGGTCATGTAATATGGAATATGTTTATGCTACAATTCAGTTTTGAGGCATTAATGGATATTATAAATGTCAGACAAATATATAAAATGAAGTAACAAATAGTTATTAATAATATTGTAGTGAGATCTTTTATAAATCACCTCTGGAAAAAGGGAATGAACTAATTTGGGAGTGATCATCTCCCATTATAAAAATAAAGTACTTTGACTAAAAAGGAACCAGTGGAGCAAATTACAAGATCATAGAATTACATAAAATATTACTTTCTTTGTTTAAATAATAAAATACATACTGTTTTCAGCGCACCATTAATGGACACAAAAAAGCATGAAAATAAAAGTTTAAAAATCTGCAATTACCAGCACAAACGTCATTTGGAAGATGATCAAAATTCGTTAAAGAAAATTACACAACATGATGTATGAATGGAAACCACTTTCTTATTCAGAGAATATTTTATAAATCATGTTGGGCTCACAAAAGCAGGTCAGAGACGTTCAACATTGATGAGCTAGCAAGTGAAAGGAGGAGCTTATCTTCCAACTATTCCAGTAGTGGTCAGAAGCACAGACCCTGCTGGACCAGAAGGCTGAGTTCTGTTCTGCGTGTACTGTCAGTGTTACTGTAATTGTCACATTCATCATTTCATCAGATGCTCCTTCCATCTCACACTGATCATGGGATACAAAGACATACTGTTCTGATTTCAGAGAATTACATTCACTTAAGATAAACAAGGGACTCTGGTGGATTTCTTTTTCTAATTCTTTCAGTGGGAAACAGTAGATATTGAAGTTTTGTTTATTTTACTAAGGTTTCTAACAAACACCCCTCTGAAAGCCTGCTTGACATCCTTGTTCCGCAGGCTGTAGATAAATGGGTTCAGCATAGGGCTCACGAAGATGCAGAACACCGCCACAATTTTCCCCTGCTCGACAGACTGCTTGTTGGCTGGTCGCAGATACATGCAGAAGAGGGACCCGTAGAACATAGAGACCGCGGTCAGATGGGAGCCACAGGTGGAGACGGCTTTGCGCTGCCCTTCGCTGGAACGGATCCTCACGATGGTGATGAAGATGAAAACGTAAGAGGTGAGGATGATGAGCAGGGAGCCAGTGAGATTTATCCCTGCGGACACAAACAGGGCGGTTTGCTTTATGAAAGTGTCAGAGCACGTCAACATTAAGAGCGGGGGGTCAGCGCAGTAGAAGTGATTGATGGTGTTGGGTCCACAAAAGGACAAGCGGGAGGTCAGTGTGACCTGCATCGCGCCCACTGCAGAGCCCCAGAGGTAGGGCAAGGTGACCAGGGAGATGCAGACGGGCCTGGACATTTTGCTGCTGTAGTGCAGGGGGTTGCAGATGGCCATGTATCTGTCGTAGGCCATGGCACCCAGTATGTAATACTCGGTGAGGAGCAGAGTGACGAACACAAAGCACTGGGTCAGGCACCCAGCGTAGGAAATGCTCTTCTTCTCGGCTAAGAAGTTGACGAGCATCTGTGGGGAGACATTGGTGGAGTAGCAAATGTCCACACATGCTAAATGACTGAGGAAGAAATACATGGGGGTTTGGAGTCGGGGTGTGAATCGGATCAGAAAGATCATCCCAAAGTTTCCGGTCAGTGTGATGAGGTAAATGAGGAGAAACACTGTGAAGAGGATGGGCTGCAGCTCTGGCCGGCCCGTCAGCCCCAGCAGAATGAACTCGGTGGCCTCAGTGCTGTTGCTTTTGGGATCGATCTTCATCCTCATCGTCTCTAACAGAATAAAAAGAAAGTGTCAGGAATAGAAGGAAACAAATGATGAACGATCCGAAAATAGTTCAACTCAAGGTGCAGCACAAAACTGACTTTGTAAAAGAGTTGTATAGAAGTTATCTCCTTCAGAGAAGGAGGTGTCCACAGAGACTCGAAGTGTTTTGTTTGCTTTTAATGTATTGTACAAGGTCTACAGGGTCTCTCCTCACAGAGCAGACTCTTAGTGATCCTCCTGTTTTCAGCCTCCCAAGCACTGGGATTACAGGCCACCATGCCCAGTCTCAGTCGCTGTGACTTTCTCAGTGCACCGCGGGGGGAGGGCCTGGCATGGCAGTCCAGGGATTGAACCCCAGTCCCAGAGCTTGGCTAAGCAGGTGCTTTAGTCTGCTGGGCTATCTGGCTGGCCCTTAGGAAGTGTTTTGTGTTACTGATTAAAGCAGGAAGTAGGTGGGATTTTGGAGCCTTTTCCTTCCGTTTTGCAATTCCCACGTGCTCTCTGCTAACACATGGGAGGCTTAACTTTGCTACTTGTCATTCCAAAGGGACCACTGGCTCAAGATGCCAACCCTCACACTCGGCTAATCCCACAGCCGGAGAAGAGAATGTGGCCTACGGGTGACGCCGCAGACCTGTCTCATCATTGCTAGCAGGGCACCAGCTTGCACGTATCAGGAAGTCACGCATCGCTTCAGACTGTTGTGTACACATTCACATTTCATCTCTTCCTCATTTTTTTTCTTATTTTCCAATAGCAATGAACATTTCCTGGTGCCTTGCTTTTCTGTTCATCCCACTCATTTGTCCCGCACAAATAGCTACACATTCATGTAAATATTCACTTGTGCTTGATAAAATATTGCATGCAACATTAGCCCGTTTTTCATATTCTATACTTATAGTTCAACTTATATCTTTAACTTCAACTCTTCTGCATGAACCACGAAGAGTTCTTGTGCACCATGGCTCCTAAACGGTGCATAGTGAATGTTAAAACCACAGGGCGGGGCAATTTCTCCACTACTGGTCAGAACTAAGAAAGATCATCATATATCTAATCTATCACAGTTGAGGTTTCTTCTTCCACACTTAGAGTTCTCCACTCTTTAACACTTGCTAGTGACCACTTAGGCAAATAAGGCACACTGTGTTTCTGACTTCATACGATGGCCCAAGTTTGCCATTGTGCTTGTGCTGCGTATGACCATGTGCCAGGTTCCTAGTGATGGCTTTCTGTCCCGAGCTCAGAAGTCCGCAATTCGTATCTGTCTTGCCTGCAACTTTAACCTTGTCGCTCCTTGAAAATGGTGAGGACTTTCTCACTTAGGGTCTTTAGACGTGATGACCCCCCTGCCCTGAATATTCTGTCTCCAGAGCTTTGAGTGATTTTTGTGAAGGTAAAGTAACAACTCCACTTCAAACCAATAACAATAGATAACTCTGAGACAAATGTAAATGATTATGGCTTGTCAAGACAGGCTGAAATTACATCAAAAGATGTGTTCTACTGTGGAAAAGTTACATGGTCTCGATGATCACATGGCAGCAGGGATTTTAAACCAAGACCTTCAACTAGAGACCTGGTGGAGGCGATACGCAGACACATTGAATCAGACCAGGGAGATCTTGGTCCTTGTGCTCATATGGTGTTTTGTAGCACTTTCAGTGAAAGGGGCAGTGGATTAGGGGCAGGCTAAGCTTCAAAGTAGCCTCTGATAGGTTTACCTCAGAAGTCATACAACTAGTCATGTACTATGGGTAGAAATCATTGGGCATTTTTCATAAAGGCCAGAGACAGACTAAAATAATCTTGGCGGTTAAAATTCATCTCCTTGGGCTGCAAAGATAGCTCAGCAGTCTAAGTGCCTACCTACGCAAGCGCAAGGACCTGGGTTTGATCCCTGGTATCGCATGCTGTGCCAGCCCCACTTTGGGTGCATTGAGAAAGCCATCAATACTGGGCCTGATGGAGCATGCCTGTGATTCCAGAGTAGGGTAAGCTAAAACAGGAGGATGACTATGAGTCTGAGCTGCATAGTGAGACTCTGTACCAAACATGTAAAATTAAAAAAAAATTCTCATCACAATCCAAATTTATTCTTTATACAAGATCAAGCAGCTTGTGGGATCTTTACACATCTGTATAGAAGTACTTTATTCAGAGAAATTCAGAGTCAAAGGCACATTGACTCACTTTCTTTAGATGTTTCTTCTAATAACACTTCCTCTGACACAGGCATTTCTGGATGCTTATCTAATCTACCTCCATCCCAATAACTCATTGTCATGAAATGTACTCTAGTTTACTTCCTGACATTTAATGCTTCTGAAATTATTTATATACTAGCCATTCCCTTCATTATAATATTAGGTACATGCAGGCAGGAACTTTATTGACATCATATTTCCACAACAAAGACAAATGCCTGAATCAAAATATTCATTAATTATTAGCTGAACGAATTAATACATCAATGAGATAACTTTTAAAATTGCAATTTACTGATTTTTTTTGTGGGATGTATCTTTCTCATGGCTCTGATATTAGCAACGGAGGTTAAGCTACTGTGAAATGCACTGACTACCTTGACAGGAACATACAGGGAAAAGCACAGCTAGAGAAATTAGATAGGAATTATTTAAATAACAAAGCTGGAGCTAGTGATGATGGCCCTTAAGTCCATGTCATTGATCCTTAAAACTTGTAGAGTGAATTGCTGGAAGTTGGGTGAAAGTTGACCCTGGATGGAAAGAATGAACTTCTTTTCATCGTGGCCACAGACTGTACAAGAGGACAGAAGCCGTTCCTGTCTCCCAAGGCGTGCCTGGCGTGTGGCTTTACCAGAATCAGTTACTCACATTTGCATCCGTGGTTACCAACTGAGATTGCGCGTTAGAGTCAGGTGAGAAGCTTTCAAGAACAGTGAAAAAGCGAAGGAACAACTGGGATGAGGAAAGGGACAACAGAAGAAAGAAGGGAAAAGATCTATCTATTTACACAAGATAGCTTGGATAATTGTACCGCTGATTCCTGCTGGTCTCGCGAAGGGAGCAGCCAATGCTTAATTATTTTTACTATCAGTTTCTTACAACTTTTTTCTTTTTAGCAATTTTGCATAATATATTAAGTGATCTGAACAACTAATATGAGGACAGCATTATGCAATATAATGACCTTTGTTGAATTTCTATTGTTTTGGTTAGCGAAATTCTGTCATTTCTAATTTGTTTTTGCTAGATTTTATTCTCTTAACAAAAAGGCAATGACAAGTGAGTCTGAGCCCAACACAGGCAGATACACACATTGCTGTGATATTTTTAGTATAGCTCCATTTGTTTGAAAAGCTCAAACAACATCTAACAATTGAACTGGACAATTTCAATAATCAATTAAGTAGGCTTTTTCATTAAAGAAATCAGGTATTTTTATATGTTGGCAACATGCATTAATCCTTTACAATGTATTGTAAAATATTTTTATAAAACTGTCAAAAGTCTCATTGTCATCAGTGCACATGGAACTTTTCTTCATAATCTCAGAAGTAGGAAAAAAGTTAAGCCTCAGATTTTAGTCCTCCTCCTATAGTATTGGTTCAAAAAAGCTCATGAAGAGAATCTAATTTCTACATCTTTGCCTCGAGTCTTCCTAACTCCACAGAAGGGGGAGGGGAAACATTTGTTTTAACTGCTGTGTGTTCTTTCATCCTTATTCTGATCAGCCCAAGGCTTGACTGGCGTGATCACATGGAGGATCCCAGTTGTGAAAGTAGAATGAGATCGAATTGTGATTCACACTAGAAGTTGGTGAGAAGCCTTGGAGAGGGCTATTAGCTACCTTCCCCCTAACATGTCCATAGTGTTAAAATGCATGTGTTTTGTGGCAAATGATGCCTAAAAATGTTTTATTCTCACATCATATGCTGCAAGCCACAGTGCCATGGGCCTCCAACAAATGGACAAATTCCTTATTGTGAAGATCCCTTCTCTTTGATCAATGGGGCTTCCTTGCTTTGAGAGAAAGATGAATGAGAAGATGGGAGGAAGAACACAATCCCAGTAAAAGGTCGTAATTCAGTTGTGAAATAGTTTTCAATTAGGTAATAGAATTAGTGAAGATAATCCCAAACATTCTCAGGGTAGGAAAGAATTGGTATTATATACAATGCAGGAGACACAACAATTTTAATCCCTATACAGATTTTTTTTTCTGAGAAGTTTGGAGAAGTGGATTCGCTTGCTGATAGCTCAACTCAGCCTATAACAGTATTGACAAAGGACACAAACAGAACTTAGTATATTCCTTAGAAGGAGTCAAAGTGCTACAGCAAACAAAGTATGGAAATGACATCCAGGATTTGGAGGCAGGTTTATTACATGGATGGACATGGATCAGGTCATTCCTAGAATATCAGGCTACAGTCTCTCATGGTCTAGGGCTTACAGGAGACAAGCAGGCAGGAAACACAGAGGAAGAATGGCTTTTCACCTGGGGATTGGCTTATACAATGTGTATCATAGTGAGCAGCCATTTCTAGGAGACCAAAGTAACAGGACTGCAATGTGAATTATTATTTAGGCAACTCGTAAAGTGAAGTATATTGGTTGGGAGACATTTTGTGCTGCAAAAGAGACTGGGTTTGATGTCCATAGGCATCACTTTGTCATCAGCTTTCAGTGCTAATTTGAAATGACAGAAACCCAAGGGAAGCTCTTTGATATGAAGACAGAGTGGCTCACCACTACTCCTCCTCTCCTGCTGTCTTATATTAACATTTAGCTAAATCTGTTGCAGTTTTTGTCTCAGTAGGAATTGTAAGGAGTCATTAAAGGGTTATGGACCGGGACTGTATCTTATACCAAATTCTAAGTCTATTGGTTTAAGAAGTAAACATGATAAAAACAATTGATGGATGTTTGAAATCCAATAATTGGCTAGAGCTCAGCACAAAAACTACTCTAAATTTTATGAGTTGTGAGTAGCGGACCTATAAGTAAGGCTAATATGTCTGCAGGACTTGTCTGACCTCCTGGCTCATTGCAAGTCACTTCTCTCTTTGCTGAAATTCAGAAGACTGCTCTTGATAATATTTTCTTTCTGTGACTGTTACAGTGGTCTCTAGAAATACTATTTTCAGTCCAAAACAGGAAGCAATGAAAACAAACCCAACTTCTTAGGAGTTCTTGAACTTCAGGTCTTACCTGGGTCAGGATATTGGTTTCTTATCCTTGCCAAAGTTTCTCAAAATGGGGGAATTTATCGTAGCTGAAGAGTTAGCCTGGAAATACTCATCCCTGAAACAGTAATTAAGAAATTGCCCAGGGGATGTCCTCAAGGGCTCCCAGGGAGGATGTTTACAAAGACATATCCTCAGACTAAGTATTAATTTATGAAGTCATCATTAGTATTGTATTTTGGTAAAAGCAAACATGCTAATACTACTTTTCACATTGGGATTAATTTTAAGACAGATAAAAAGGTGTTTTATTTTCTGTAGTCACAAGACCATTACAGCATCCTCAAGTTGAATAGTATTTTCTTCTTCTAAAGGCCCCTAAGGTTTTCTCTCTGCTTGTTTTATATTATTTGTCACCTCCTATGACTTGTTTCTGTCTTTTGCTGGACTGTAAATGCCCTGAGAGCAGAACAAACATCAATTTAATCTTGATATCTTCTATAGGGATCTGTGTCTCTAGGCTGGCACTCCCTATTTAATTCAGACTTGCTGGATGAAGAAATAAATGCTGATGTTTGTTTAAATGAGATCAGATTGACGTGGTTATATAATTAGTGCATAAAAAAGGACTATTATTGTAGTCCTTATGCAAAATATATGTATGATCTTGTATATATTTATTTATTAGTTGATATATTCTCACACATTTGTATTTGAAATCAAATAAAACCTTAATATTCTTTGGTTAGTTGTAATTGATTATGAATAACAACAATAACATGAGAAAAATATCTTATATAACTAACATACAGTCTAACATAATCTTCCTTCCCTGAACTACATTCATCATTAATCCTTGATGTATAAAAATAGATTATGTTAGAAATAAAACAAAGTTTGGCAGTTTAACTTGGGTTTATTAATAATTAGAGAGAAAAAATTGACAAAGCTATGACCTTCCATAGTGCTTCAAAGAGAAGCTGGCCTAATCTTCCAGCTTTCTGCTTTGGCTCTGACTGCATGGGTAAATAAAACAACAAATCCTTGGGCTCAGTTTCTTTGAGCAGTTCTTACATGTGTTTGTCAGTCTTCCCACTGTTTATTCAGTTTCAACTGGTCATGAGTGGTACTCACATTTCCAGATTATTAACAAATTTTTAAAATTTATGTAGGATGAAGATGGAACCTAGGATACTTTGCCCAGTGTATGTTGTGGGGATGTAGTTAAGCTCTCATCAGCTGATATTCTAAGCATGTTCTGAATATGTAGAGACACTAAACCCAAAGGAGGTCTATACTTCCTGTAAAAATCAGGGTTCTACTCTGTCAGCCATGAATACCAGCAGTGTGTGGGTGACACAAAGAGAGAAATGTTCTTAAGATGCACTGTGCATGGTGCATGAGAACAGAGCAGACAGAACTTGGAAGGTTAGACTTAGAGTGGGGTAACTACAGATGGAGCCATAGAACTTCCTTCCATACCATGGACAGGGGACAAAAGTTACAAAAATTGAAATAAAATCGTTTGAGATATTCTGGAAGAAAAGGAGCCAACAAAGATTATTTAAACCATTGGCATCTCCAAGATTAAAGCTACTCTTTAAAGGAAAGTCAGAGCCCATGTATTCAAATAATATGTAATTATGTCTTCATGGAATGACCTAGGTATGAGGTCATTAGTAGCTAGTACCCTAGAATTATTAACTCAAGGTATTTAATCACTATAATTCTTTTAAACAGTTAAGGAAGAACAGGTAAAAATTTATGCACTGCTAGCTACAAACATGTCAAGAATAAACAAAAGCCCTCGTCAAGATTGGCAGAATTTCTACACATAGTTTTAGTTTGATTCTGAACGCAGTTTTCTGCCTAACCATGTGTCTGAAATGAATACACACTGTAGAGGATGATGTTATTGTGATAGCTCGGGTTACGAAGCAGCCCTGAAGCCATGCTGCCACCCAACACTCAATGAAAGCTTTAGTTAGAAAAAAGTATGCTTCAAAATTGGGATAACTGTTCTCTCACTTAAGATAAGAAGCAATGTTTGTTACGGCACTTCGAAGTTGAATTAAAGGACTGTGAATTTGGTTTCCTACACTCTTAAAGTGAGTGGCCCATAGTTGATGACTTTGCATATGATTTTTATAGTCAGCTTTAACCTTGTTAATTCTCCGTACACTTTTCTTGCATAACATCATCTATTGACTTCCAGAAATTCAGGCTTGGAAATAAATGGTTTCTAAAGTGCGTTCCTCATTAAAACATTTTAAAGTCTAAGTTTACCACATTTAACTCAGCGGTTGCAATTATTTGCTTCCCTATGGAAATAAAAACAATTATAGAGACAATAAACTATATTTTCTCTGTATTATCTTATCCTAAGAGTCTTGCACTGCCAACTCTCTACCTAATGTATGCTATCAGCTCAGAGTATTGGTTAATGCAAGCAATTAATGCCCTAAACACTTAAAATTTAATAGATTCATTGCCAAGGAAAAATCGTGTGTAGTGCTTACAAAAGCCTCCATGAGGTACACCTGCAATAACTTGATGCCTGAGATAAAAAGCTCCAGAAGCCCTATCTATGAGAAGGCAGGAACCATGTGGGATATCGCGATATTACCACAGCAAGAGAAACTGGTATTTCATTTTATAAAAGGTAAATCTAGCAAAATGACACTGACATAGCTCTATACATGGGAAAGAAACATAATATTCATACTTTACAGAAAATGAGTGAAAGAACTCAGGCAGAGATGACTCAGACTAAGAATACCTGATTCTGTGAAATGTCAGAAAAAAATAATACTTTTGTGAAGATTCTTAATTGATTACTTGTGGTTACAAAACAAGTCTTTGGATTCTGTCCTGGTTTTGTCCTTATGCTGAAAACAGTTCATTATAAATTTCAATGAGTCAAACTTTAAAACTGGCTTCAAAATTATGAAGCAATTTAATTTCAAAAGGAAATCCAAGAAAACATACAGTGAAATATAAATCATTTTAGATATATAAAGGTGACCATTTTTAGCCTTTTAAAACATAACCATTAAAAAATAAAATAAAAAACATTTATTTTATATATGTATATATACAAATTCATAAACATATATAACAAAATAGTTTATATCTTTTAATGAGTACCAAATTTATCACAATTATAAAATGGACCAAGTAAAAGATGTATGAATTTTAAAATTGAAAAGCAACAAATGAAATATTATTTAGCAATAGATTTCATAGAAATAAATATCCATATATATATATATACATATATATGTATATATATATATGGCTAAGACATCAAATCTTCTCTGTTTATTTAACAGTACAGGAGATGATCATGAACAAGTAGAGAAGAGGTTGCATACTGACGGGAAGGTCATACTCACAACAAGCAAACAGAAAAATATTCAGTGACAAAGTTGCCATTTTCTTTTTTCTTTTGTATTTTTTAGAGAAGGGTCTACAGGGTGTTCAGGGTCTCACTACTAGATCAGACTCATAATGATTGCCTGTTTACAGCACCCCAGGAGCTGGGATTATAGGCACGCGCCACCATGCTGAGTCTCAATTGTCTTCTCATGTGCCCCAGGGGCAAGGCTGGCATGGCAGGCCCGGGGATTGAACCCCCAACCGCTGTGCCTGCTTGCAGGCACTTTAATCTGCTTCATTTTCCTTAAATAGCACCTGAAGAAGAGTTCCATTGGTCATAAGTATCATCTGCATGGTATATCGCAGGGTAATAAAATAAAAAGACTGTCCTTCTTATATTTTTTGAATGAGGGAAAAAATGACCTATCGGTCTGACAAGGTTCTTGAGTACTGTGCGTATCTATGTTGTCCTGGTGACACAGAGTAGTACTGGGTAGCATACTCTGGGTGAAAGTGTGTTCTTTACTGAGCCAACCAAGCAAAAACAAGGCTCCTGCTCTTGCCTTGGAATTTGGAGGCCGTTTAGAGAGCCCTCCCCGACGTAGCTCTGTCAGGGCTCAGTTTGCTCTGGAAGGCTACACAGACTTGTACGTTTCATGTGCGCGCTGTGAAAGACCATAAATATGTCAGGAGAAAACACGA